GGGAAGCCTCTAGGAATGTAAAGAAAGAAAAAAGAATTAATGTGGGCCATGCCCGCTGTCCTTCGAAAGTCGCTTCCTCTCTACTTTTCCCTGCAGCTGCCTCAGGAAGGCTTTCTATTTGCTCATAAGATGGGTTCTCTCTGCCTGGCATCTGGGGGGAAAGAAACCCACAGTGCCAAGCTCTACAACTGCCACAGCCGTTCTGTCCCATTGGCACCTCAGGATCCTCCCCCCCCCAAAAAAAAACACCATTTGAGGCTGATATAGTTCTTCCATTTGTTCAGTCTATGACCTGACCATGCCATTTGTATCCCTCATTCAAGAGAATGGATTTTTTTTTCCTGGAAATCCAGAAGTGCACAAATGCTGACAGGAAGATGAATTGGGTTTGAGTGTCTCAAAAAGGTCAAAGAGCAGATCAGGCACCAATCTGTGTGACCTTATTTGGCCTGTCCACTACCCTAGTTTAATTCATTTACTTTTGTAACAGTTGGTTTCAGCACATTCTGGACAAAGTAGTCATGATGGCAGAAGATTTATATGCCATCATTGGGTTGCCACCAAAATAACAACGCGAAGTGAGCAGGGCCATTTCAAGTGTAGTATGTGTGGAATGGAAGGAGTATTGACCTATACTTTTCTGCAACTATCCTTTTCTTTCTAGACCATTCCCTCTATTTGTTTTCCATCTAGGAGATTTGCAGAATCAGACCCCAGCATTGTTAGGATAAAGAATCCTGGGGAGAAGTTGAAAGATTGCTAAGGAACTGTGGGGAAATATGGGTCTATTCCTACACGCCCCTGCTGAATTGTAAATTGCACTCAGTCCCCTTTATTGGAGGTTGGTATGGCTTGCCTTCTACCCCCTGGAACTGAATCATGATAGTTGGTAAAGGAAGAACTTTCTGATGGCAGCAAACAATATTGTTCGTGGCCAGCAGAGATACCAAGGTCAGCACTTTGGATATACTTTTCAGCGGGTGGATAACAATTTACTGCCTCACATAGCAACCATTATCTGTGGATCACACTGATTTTAGATTACATTTTATATTATATTGCAGTTGCCAGAGCTATTTGGGAAAGGGACAAGATACGTATTCTTCAAGAAATCTAGAAACATAATTTAGAACTGGTGTCAGTGAAGTGTCTTTCATACAGGCATTCGTTTTCATATAAATAAAGTGGTACCATTATCCTTGGGTACACTGCTGGCAATGGGATGGCCCAAACTCTATTGAGAAGATCCAAGCATAGAGACAGGAGGCAACAGCCCAAAGAATTCATCCTACTAGAACAAAAAATGTTGCTCCCGTAGGCTATCAAAGAGAGGGTAATGTAAGGCAGTTTACAGTTGTGTGGCTGCTTGCAAAAGCAGTTAAGAAGATTCTTTGTTAAATATGAGTAGAACTACATGGTGCATAAGAAAATACATTTTCCTCTCAACTTCAGGCTTGTAGTCTCTTTTTATTTGTTCCTCTGCCCAGCCTTAAAAAAATCCATCAATGCATGCATCTGAATTCAAATAGCTTCTAGTTGTGCGTCAAAAATTGGTAGGTATGTTGGCCCAAAACTGCTTGAAGAGCTGCAGTGTGGTTTTATCTCTTAAAGAACTATGCTGGTTATAGTTTAGAATATAACATTTCCTGTGTTGGACAAGCGGAAGATGAAATGAGAAATTGTCTCCAAGCGTCTTACACAAATGGCTGACACAAGAAAAATCCATATCGCTTATATACCACAAGCACACATTTTTATGTGCTCCGAGTAAGATGTATTCATTAGTTTCTTTGGTTGCTTCTCTCTCCCTCTGCTTTCTAGTTCTTCCTCTGGTGATTTTTTAACACATTTGCAGTGTTATTCCAGGAGTAATAATGAGGTCCTTGTGGAATTCTCTCTGTGGAGATGCCAGCCTAGCACCATAGAGAGAAAAATCTCTGCCAATTTGTTTGCACTGACTCATTCTTTGGAGTTTGATTGATGCAACTGTCTCTATAGAGGTATAAGCAGTGCTTGGAATCCGCCCCGCCCCCCATTTTTTTATTTTTATTTTTTTGCTTTAGCTCCCACCCTCACCCCCCAGATAGCATGGCTGTAGGCCATACTGGCTTGGGATTTCTGGGAACTGTAGTCCAGAAATGTAATGTTTCCAAGCTCTGAGAGGACAAAATTAAAACTAGACAGGCAGAGCTAGAAAGACAGAGTTACAGGTCTCTCCCACTCTGTGCGTTGTAGTGCTGATTGCCCTTCTATGTGGAGATTTTGGGGGCACTTTCAGGGATGGGTTATCTATTAATCAAGGGGGGTTCAACATGGGATGGACATAATATGTATGACAGAGGACTTCTACTAAAACAACTTTGCTGCAGCTGTTTTGTGTACACTGGCTAAAATCCTGTTCAAGTTGGCATAATGTAAAATTATATCTGCAAATGTATTCTGGGTAGTATGTCCAGGTCACCAGCATTACACAATGGATTGCACGATATTCATTCCGATTGTCCAATTGACCATACAGTTAATGATTGCCTGATTCACAATTGAGTGCTTGATTGTGTGGTTCATGATTGTGCAGTTATTGACCTTGGTCATGTTGCTACTATTGTGTGACATGCCTATGAAAGTGATTTGTGGATATTACTTCTGTCCTGCCATGATTGCTTCTGTTTCTGCAATGTCATGTTATATATGCATAGCTGAAGGACAGTATCCCTACTACTTTGTTAATACAGATTTGCTAGATAGTTGAGTGGTTTAAGGCATCTGGCTGCAGAGTCAGAGGTTGGGGGTTTGATTCCCTACTGTGCCTCTTTGAAAAGGGCTGAACTGAGCGACCCATAGGGTCTCTTTCAACTCTGCAGTTCTAAGATTTTAAGATTATGTAAGGTTTGGATAGCTCACTAGTTTAGTTATCTGGCTGCAGAGCCAAAGGTTGTGAATTAGATGCCCTATTGTGCCTCCTTGACAGGGGCTAGACTCAATGATCCATAGAGTCCTTTCCAGCAATGCAGTTCTAAAATTACTACTGCTGCTGCTGCTGCTACAGTTAAGGATGGATGTAATTGGGTTAACAATTATTATTACTCATGACTGTTTCAATGTGTCTGATTTTAAATGAACATATTATCATACTGTACATTATATATGCTTTTGTAAATCGGTTTGAGACCCCTTTGAAGTGTAGGAAGCAAGTCATAAATGTAGTAAATGCAACAAGGAATGCTAACAATCTCCTCCTTTTGTTCTTGGCAGCACTTTTACAGTCGGTAATAGCTGGTGATTTCCTAAAAGTAAGTAAAAGAAGGTCTGGTGCCTTTTATTTGACATCTAAAAGGTCTGATGCCTTTTATTTGGCATTTATTTGACTTCCTAATGTCTGATATTTATTTATTTTCTAATGGAATTTGTAGATGCCCCTCAATTATATACCTGGAACACTTTGCAAAAGTAGTTAAAATGTCTTTGTATTTGTGAAATAAGCTGGAATTCCCCCCCCCCAGCACAATTAAGAAGGTATGTAAAAAGCCTGGGAGCTCTCTGTGTCCAAAGAATCATAATGCGGTTCAAAGTGAACATCAGCAACGGTATAGCTTCCATACACTCCTTAATAAGCAGTCCCATATGGAGAAAAGCAGTTTCTTGAGTAAGTCACTGGCACCATAGTCTATCATCTTATGGTCTGATATATGACCAGTCTAATGGTACATTCGTTTCTACTCCCTTTTGCACTTCACTGCAGTTTCAGCATTTGCTGTGAATGCAGTTCCAAAATTAAGCAAGTTGCAGGAACACCATGTCTGTCCTATATCTCTTCCAATCTGGCAGGGTGTAAAAGGGAGAGATCTCTTCCCCCCCCCCTTAATTGCACATCTTATCTGTATAAGAGCAGCTCTTGCTTCTCAACCCTAAGGCCAAACTTCAAGGCATATATGCTTTGTCTGGATACCTCAGTGGTTTAGAGGTTGGGAGTTTCATTCCCCACTTGTGACTCTTTGACAGGGACTGGACTTGATGATCCGTAGAGTCCCTTTCCAGCTCTGCAGTTCTAAGATTGGATGTTATTGTATTTTACATGCACACACCACTTTATTTGCCCTCAGAATTCAAGGCAGCATCTGTTCCCATGAGTGATTGTTATTTCTCGACTATTGTTAAAGATACAGTGCATTAATTAGGGCTAGTTTAGCCATTCAAAACATTCTTCCATGTAGTATTCACAAACGAGTCCTAGAGATATGTTTTCCGTAAAATATAACTTGTCCCTAGAAAGTTGAAACTTCCAGGAGGTACAAATTTCCCCTTTGAATACGCAACTATGCCCAAACTATATCCATCTAGGCTAAGAATTCTCTCATATAATCACTGACCCCATAAGTGTGTCAGAGCAGCTTGAAATCTCATGCCCACTGCAGCCAATGTCACTACATATCACAAGTGTTGTCGTACCTATAGCTGATGTGGGGAAAGTGTGGCCTTCTAGGATGTAGAAATGTCGCTGGCTGAAATTTTGTGGCTTAGCTGGAGAAAACACACAACTTTCAGTCCATTCTTAGCCAACAAATAGAGTTTCCACTGCAGTTTTTGCAGGCACATGCATACATGTCCCCAAGCAATGTAGCATATATTTTTAATTTGACAGGTAAGAATAGACTTGGCTAGATGTCCAAATTGGAGCAGACTGGACCAGGGTTGCTTATGCCTAATAGTTATGTCAAAGGGATGTCCATGGTGTGATCCTAGCATACATATGCAAGGATTGTGCGGTTTCAGGTCAAGAAACCCCACTACACCTCGTGACACTGTTTAGCATGATGAATATCTTCCTTTCTTTTTAAAAGGAAAGATTGTTTCCCTTTCAAGAGAAAGATTTCTCAGGATCATTAAGCCCTTTGGAGAAGCTGGTTAACAATCTTGAGAAATGGAAATTTCAGGCAGGAGAAAGGAGAATTTTTGAATTTCTTTTTAAGTATTGCTAACATATCAGCATTGTTTTGAAAAGGTTTTTAAGACCAGTCAAAGCAACACTGATGTGCTCTGTCCATCAGCAACCATTAAAAAGGAATGCAGATCCTCCTGTCCTCTCCAAAGGTGAGCTCTAAGGACAGTAAGGCTTCCCAATTCTCAAGATCTTAGTGCTTAGTGATCCTGAGAAATTGTTCCTGCTAAAGGGCAACCATCTTTCTATTTACAGGGAAAGAAGGGACAGCTTGAATCAAACCAAAATGGAGCAGTCCTACCCACATCTAAAACACAGTAGCCCCTAACAGGGTCCCCAAAAGGTGTGAGTAAGAATGTTCTGGAGACAGGCTGGATCTGACTGGCAATTGCATCATCTGGTCACCAGCAAAAGGAGTGAACCAGCCTGTTCCCAGAGGGGACCAAACAGCAGAACAAATGTCCATGTAGTCACACCCAAAGTTGCAATTTTTCTAATTCTATGCAACCAAATTTCAGCCACTAGATTGCAAGTAGTTATTGATTTGATTTGATTTGATTTGATTTGATTTGATTTGATTTGATTTGATTTGATTTGATTTGATTTATATACCGCCCATCTGGCAGCCAAGGCCACTCTGGGCAATTTAAAACAACAACAACAAAACAACAGAATAACAAAATAGCAAATAGTGACATTAATACATAAAGGTGAAAATCAAAAATGAAGTGAAGATAAAATTATAATACAATAAATACAATTAAAAGCATAGAAGAAAATGAAAACACGGAGCATGGCATTATGATAGAACAATTAAAAGCATAGAAGAAAATGAAAACATGGAGCATGGCATTATGATAGAGGTTATATTATTGGACACTATTGTATCAGAGTGTAGTTTATTCAGGGAAGGCCTGTCTAAATAGCCAGGTTTTTAGTAGCTTCTTAAATGTGCTCAGTGAAGGGGCCAGTCGGACTTCGGGTGGAAGAGAGTTCCATAATTGTGGCGCTACCACCAAGAAGGCCCGGTTGCTAGTGGTTATTTTCTGGGCCTCTCTTGGGGTCAGAACTCTCAGCCGCCCTGCCTGCAACAATCTTATAGGACAGGCAGGAGGTGCTTGGCCAGATATCATGGCAATTGTTATTGGATAGCAACTTTAGTCAGTCCTTGCCAGGATATCAGGTGATCAGGAATAATGGGGGTTGCTGACCAACAACATAGGAATGGTCACGTCTTCTCCATCACTGGCAGACAAGATGTCAAATCTTCCATTAGGTATACACTGTAGAATATAGGTGTACAAAAACCAATGAACAAAGCGATTCTGTTTCTGGGCAATACATTTCTGTTTGGCCCTAACAGATACTTTGCTTTAAAAGGACTAGGGATTATGAATACCTGTCCAACACCAAGCTTTACTCAAATGCCATTACCAGGACATACCTAACTGAGTGAGTACCTGAGTGAGTTTGTTTAGAGCCACCATTGTAAAATAAAACAATGGATTAAGATAATTTTGTCCTTTCTTTATGCATTTATATTCCAGTTCATAGAATGCTGTACAAAGGGAGCTAATCTGTTAATCCAGGGACCTGACCACTGTTCCTTGCTTCATCATGCAGCCAAGACTGGACATGGAGAAATTGTGAAGTACATCCTAGATCATGGTGAGTGATTAGATGTTTTTTCATGCTCAGATACAACAATTTATGTATTTATTTTATTTTATATTGTTTGGTTTGGTTTCTATATCACCCCATTAGTGATACTTACTACTCTGGCTGGTTTACAGAATAAAAGATGAAACACCCCAATGTTCTCAAGTCTACCCCAGTACATCATCACAATCAAGATGGCAATACAACAAATCAAATGCAGTTAACAAAAAAAAGGAAAATGCCTATATTTAAAAATTAATATTAACAATGTCTGAGGATATATTCTTAAAAGCTGCTTTTTGAGTTCTGTCTTTATTAGTTTTCGAAATTCAGGAAGGATAGGGCACACCTCAGATGGAAGCTTGTTCCATAAAATAGGGGCCACTACCCAGAAGACCCAGTTCCTCATTGTTATCTTTTTCTTCTCCTTTGGTGTGCCCGCTTTTAACAATGTGGATCAGGAGGAACATGTGAAACAGGTAGCTGTTTCCTGGGAGAGATGTTCTGACAATTGTCAAAGCCCTAAATTAGTGGTTCCCAGCTGTGGGTCCCCAGATTTTCTTGGACTACAACTCCCAGAAATCCTGGCTAGCACAGCTAGTGAGGTGAAGACTTCTGGGAGTTTTAGCTGAAGAACATATGAGGAATCAAGGTTAGGAACCACTACCCTTAACTTTATAGGTCATAACCAGCACCCTGAATTGAGCACAGCAACTCACAGGGAGCCAATGTGGGTGGGTCAAGGCTAGGAATATATTATCAGTACATGATCAGCAGCCAAGCTAAAGGGAAAGGACTTGAGTAATCATTTCGTAGTCGTGCTACCCTGGTGGACCTCTCAAAGGCTTGAAAGTGGTAGGACTATTACTGATGATCATATAAAGTGGATCAGTTTGTGTTTCTCTATTAGCCATGGTTAGGCTTCAGAAGCAAAATGGAACTAAGTATTTACTCTTTACACCTGACAAATTCAGTTGGTATCGCTATTTCCATTTACTGTACTTACTGTTGTAATTGCCTGCTGTATAGGCTTTTTAAAAAAGAATCTCTTAGGAGAAAGGTGGTTATCCCATTTTGATAGTAACATGGTCGCATAGCACAAGGATTCAAAGCTAGACGTTTAAATATTAATAATTAATTCTGCCCTGGGGCTGGCAAATCTGTCGCTTCTGGTTCTTCTCACATTCAGTTTTGTAAATACCAAATGCTTTCCATTCTGAAGATGTAGACACTGGTGAAATATGGGTAGTTCTTATCAGAAAGTAGCTGAAATGAAAATTTCACTTATTCCTATTTTTGAAAGTTCCTATGATTGCAACAGGATAGTTATATACACCCCCAATATGCTCCCATTAAAGTCAGGGGGATTTACAACTGTGCTTAAATGTATTATCATTAACATGAAAATATTAGTATTGGATATGTGCATTCTATGTGATTCTTTTTTTTAAAGAAGAATAAACACAGGCAGCAAATTCTGACTGTGAATAACATCCAGCTCTTTCCATAAAATATCATAAATTGTTATGATGACTATGATGATCTATCCACTACAAGAAAAATACTGTCTCCTGATACAGCTTCAGATTCTTAGTAGGAAACTTGGTGTGCATATGAGAGAGAAAGTATTTGCAAGGTTTTCTGGTTTGTTTTTCGGAGGTGTTTTTTTTGGTGGAGCAGGGAGATAAAGCTGCATTATGCTATATTAGCATAATTTGTGCGCATAGAACTCACCACTACAATGCTTCATCTCAAATCCTATTTCCTTAATAGGAAGTCACACTTAGAGTAGGCCCATTGATTGAGAGGAGATTTGGTAACTCAACTGCTTTGTAAGTTCCGTTGATTGAAATGGGCTAGTCTGTGGTACTACAGAAGGCAACAGGGTTTCAGCCATGGTGTCTGCATACAATGAAATGATAAATGAATTTACGATTATAGGAGGGAGTGCCTCTCTGGACACCTAGGACTGTATAAAGTCTGGTTTGGAAAAGCTGTTCAAAACTGTGTAACAGGCAGAACTGGCAGAATATAAGTGGATCTTAGTTATGGGGGTTCCATATTGTTTTGAAAGCACACTGAATTAGGGGTGCTCTTCTCTCTGTTTTGTCTTGTTTGTGAGCCTAGTAAAGGGCTGGAGTCTCCCTCCCTCCTTGCCTACATGGCAAACACCATCATAGGCACTCAAGCTACTTTGCTGGTTGGAATACCACCAGAGAGTGTGCTTTGTTTAGCTAAAAGCAAGGGAGGGGTGGAAAGAGTCAATAATTTAAGATGGGCTGATGACTGGAGACATTAAGGTCAGACAGAGGCTCCCATGAGGGCACTTCCCCCCCATCCTTCCCTTTCCACATTTTAGCTCTTTTCAATCGAGATTCTCCCCCTCCCCGCAATCTTCTATTTCCCAGAGCCTTTTATTTATTTCTCTGCCTCCTTGCACATTTTTGTTTCTCCCCCTCAGCTCTTGTTTTGTTTTTATTTTTTCCCCTCCCTGCTGTTTTCCTTGATAGAAATCTCACTCATGCGTCTCCCTTCCGGATTTCTTGCAGCTTGGTTGGTGTGCTCTCTGTCTCTGTGCCTTGGTCCCCTTTTCTTCCTTTTGCTTCTCCTCCCGAGGAAGCGAGCCAGCTCCCTGCTGTGGCAGGATGACCGTGCCATTAGCTTTCCCACTGCCAGCTTTTCCCACATCTGTGTGGCTTTTGTCCTGTGCCAGAGAGGGATTTGGAACGGTCCTCTGGGCAGCAAATGGGTGACTGATATAAAAGTTGGGGAAGGGGGAGGATTAGAAACAGGCAGGAGACATTGCTTGAAAGCATGCATTTCTGTAAGGCCTGTAACTCTCAATTAACCCTCTTTCTCAGTTCCTGACTTTCATTTCTTCCCAGCAATCAGAGGAAAAGATTTCCTGTTACTCAGAGCTGGAGTGGGTGAAGTGTGGACTGAGGGGAACATCTGGTCCATGAGGGGCTCAAGTGTACCCCCAACCCCCTGCTCCCCACCCTCCATCTAGAAATGTGCTTAATGTTAAAAGTCACTCTCAGGTTTGTTTTCTGGGGGTAACTTTCCAGCACTAAAAATAATTTTTAGGGGGGCTCCTGGTGGAATTGCCCCCCACTCCACCTAGGAAGAACAAGGAAAAGCCCCCCAAGCTTATACAGATCTAATCTTTTGTGATATCTTTTATTGGACCAAAAAATAAAAACCACACAACCAACCAACCAAAAAACAAACAAACAAACAAGCTCAAGAGGAGAAAATTCGACTTAGACCACCACCTAGGGTTACTGCTCTTCTTCAGACTGGCATCTCGGGAAGGTTGGGGTTGTGTCTCTTCAGCTGCCTGTACACATGTGTACAAATGAACCTCTGACTAAGCCCCTACTCCCCACTGATCTAACTTGTCTT